TAGTCTCTGAATATAACGATGGATTATTTGCATACATATTTGGTACCATAGAAATAATTAATATATCAGTAACCGACTATAGCTTTTCAGTTGCCAAGCCGGGTAAAACCACTGTGCTTAAAAGATGTTGCGAGAACACTGATTAGGTTTTTTTTGAATTTACAGCGATCTACTTAGAATTTATCTATACTGCTCTCAGTAATGTCCCTTTTCAATGTTCCATACAGAAAAAAATCACGAAACCTTCTGTCATCTTTGAATTATGCTGATGAAGAAGAGGATAAAATAGAAAACAAACTATCATCATCTTGGAGATCAGGTCATGTGACATCCCCTGATGAGAGTTCACTTATCAGTACCCCATCAGCAACGCCGAGATCACCAGCATACATACCAACAGCAATGACTGATACTGGGTGAGTGATTTCTCTTCTTCTGCAATATACGGTGGGTAGACTAAACATACTGGAAGTGATTTATTCACCAAGTTGCTTAGGAAACCCTCCCCTATTGGTGGTAGTCACTGTGACATGCATGCATGTCACATATTTACTGCTGAATGTTTTCAACTGTATTTTATAAATAACCTTATGTACTCGTACAAGCCTAGAATGTCACACTTTCTGAGGGTAAAGTCTGCAGCCCTATGACATCATGTGATCACACTTTTTTTCCCATTTGGCATGCAATGTTGCTCACTGATCAGCACTAGCTCATGATCTGCTGTGTCTACCTTAACAGACACAAATCATGTCCATTTAATAACAACAGCAGTCAACAATATTTTATTTTCGGGTGTGAATGACTGGTTCTCCCAACTACGCACATACACATGCATGCAAAACGTAAACAAGTGCGATGACATTTTAGTTCCTATAACAGCAAGGGCAACTTTTTTCATTATTGGGGGAGGGGGGTCAGGAAATTGTTATTGATACTAAACTTGTCCTTCCAAGTGTGCGACTGTTGTTGTCATGCATAAAGCATTATACATGCTAGCTCTGGGGTAGATTATGTTCTTATTTCAAACCTCATTGGCTTATCAAGTTATATCTATTGTTTTTAGGAACCAATCCAAAAGTGAATCTTTTGCCAAGAGATCAGCTGCTTTTTGGGATGGATCAGATTTAGATGAATCAGATTCAATCGCTCTCCCCATGGCAACTGGAACAATCGGAAGCACTCAAAAAACTGTTCAAGAGGAAGAAGAAAAAGATGATTTTGATTTTTATGATTAACAGTACCTTCTGAATTTCATGTCAACTCAATTTGGGCTGTGATAATTTTCATGATTTTGTTTTTCATTTATCAGCAATTTTTTTAGATATTCAAATAATCACTCCAATTATTCTTGAAAAGATAGATTATAAATAATATAAAGGGCACAATCTCAATTCATGTTCAAAAGGGTGGATTTTGTGACTGTAGATCAACTACTAATCAGTTTGCGCCAGGAAATAAATAACTGCGAATTAACATTTTTGGCCTAATGTGAACAGGATTAAACGATGTCATTTATTACTGTGATTGGAGAAAATGGCATAAAGCCTTAGGATTGAGACAAAAGAATTGACTTTCATTCTTTAAAATGAGTTGTACATGTGTATTTTTAAAAAAATGACAACAGTTGCAGACCGTGTCTCTTTGAAGAAGAAGAATATATTGTTGCTATCAAATGAATTTACATGCGGTAATCTACTAAGACTATTATTATAATAATAATTTATTTTTATATTACTGAATCTATTCCCTCCAGAGACAATAAGTATGAGACATGTGATGCTTGAAAGTCTATCGGTATTTAATGCATAAAATAAACAAATAGTTGAAAAAAAACAAATCTTGGAATTGCTATTTCTTTTATCCTGTTGGTCATAACAACCGCATTGTTTATGTTGGGACAATGTTTATCTTCTACTCCTGTTAAGTTATGGCTGCTGTATTTAAACTCTCTCTCATTTGTTTCTTCTTTAAAAGAGATTCATGTAGTTCTTTCATCCTCTGATCAATGTCTGCAATGCTCATGTCTTGCCTCTCTCTCCTATCTTTGTGCTCACTCTCTGTTCGATGTCGTTTGTACGATGTACTCTGTATAATTCAATATACGTGCAGGGATAAATATGTAATTCTCACTGAACACTGTTCTACATAGTCAAGTAAATAACATATTCCTACTTACCGCAGCACTGAAGTACTCTGGAGATAGTCCTTCCAGTTGTAATATTTTATCTTCCAGTCGTTTTATTCTGCTATAAAAGTCTTTAGGTACAGGTTGTCCTGCAAAAATAAATGGGGATAGAGCAGTAATGGTGGACCACAACGCAAGCGTACTACAGAATTAAAGAAATTGGCCAAAAAATAGGGATGATTACGAATAAAACTAACCTGTTTCAAGTTTAAGATGTTTCTCCATATTGTGTAATCTCTCTTCCACTCCTTCAGTTGTCTTAGCAGTATTTTTAAAACTACTGGCAGGATTATGTGGTCTAATTTTCACTGGTGATATAGCCATCCTCGTCTGTGGTCCATATGAGTTAACAACTCTAGATACTGTGCAGTGAATATCAATATACAGAACTTGATTGAATGACCAATATTAAACTATCAATAATACAAGACCTGAGGTCCATTTAAATTAAAATAATACAGATTATTGTTTATACTTTCATTAATCTATACTAAGAGTATGTATGGAGGTGAATTGTGACCAATTTAGACAAAGTGACTAACAATGACACACATTCACACATATAGACATAATTTTCATGTGACCCATGCTCCGAAAAAAAGAATAAAAAGAATCCACGTAATTTGAAGCCAATATGATACTATAAGGTTATCACCTGGTACCAGTGGAATGATACAAGTGATATCATGAACTGAATTATCAATGAACTGACATTGAGCCATAATGATATACAAATAAGTAATAAACTTGTTATAACATGGCCAATTAATAGTCAAATAGTGAAGCAGAACAGTGAAGTGAGCAGTGGCCATCATCAGCATTTTACCAGTCTAAAAGAAGTACAAAAAAATGTCCCAGAAGGGTTTCTCACAAAGACAGTTGGTACACATCCTCCCATACAAAATCATATGGAATTTGACATTTTTAATTAAAGTGTTTGAGGTATGTCTTTTTTGGCAAAGTGAATCATAGACCCTCCAGTCTACTGGAGGGTCTATGAGTGAATGCATGTTTTTAAAAAAAATCCAGGAAATAATTTTCCAGTGCATGTATAGTCTGTTTTGAAAATCTTTGTAGAACTTGAATGCCTGATGTAATCTGAAATAAAGTGTAGACAAATCAAAAGGTTTTACTTCGTACCTTTTTTGTTAATCATATACTTTAAAAAGTGTATTTTTAGCTAAGATGTTATTTTAGCTAATCTGTAATTTTGCTAACTCAAGATGTTGCTAAATAAATAAAAAGAAAGTATCTTCTCACAATGATTGTTGGAACTTGAGCTAAATTAAGATTCTGTTAATTTGTGCCTTGAACCAAATTTGCTAAAATGGCATGTAGCTATTCTAACATATTTTATACATTGATCCAAAACACAAATAGGGTGTATTTCTGTTGTTCACATAATTGAAAAAAATGTTTTTTCAAAACCCTGTTTGGAACCAACTTTTTTTGTGAGTGAGCTCTCTGGATAGAATGGATACCTTTTACATGACTTTTACCACCACTTCTTGCCTTGAAAATGGCATCAGTTCTTGCACAGCTATCTTCCTCTGTCAAGTCAATAACACCACAGAACTCCCTTTTATTGTTGTCATTTACCTCAAGCTGTTTTCTTTCCATAAATGCGGATATTCTTCTTTCAATCTGTTGAATAATAACAATAATGATTCTACTGTAGTTAATAACATTGTGTCTCTGAATGCATGTATTGTTGAATAGTAGTAGGGGTGTACCGCCAGAATCTCCCTGGGTACCATTCAGTTTATACTGGTCTATATGGTCCCTGGGTACCATTCAGTTTATACTGGTCTATATGGTCCCTGGGTACCATTCAGTTTATACTGGTCTATATGGTCCCTGGTACCACTGAGTTTATACTGGTATATATGGTCCCTGGGTACCATTCAGTTTATACTGGTCTATATGGTCCCTGGTACCACTGAGTTTATACTGGTCTATATGGTCCCTGGTACCACTGAGTTTATACTGGTCTATATGGTCCCTGGGTACCATTCAGTTTATACTGGTCTATATGGTCCCTGGTACCACTGAGTTTATACTATTCTATATGGTCCCTGGGTACCATTCAGTTTATACTGGTCTATATGGTCCCTGGTACCACTGAGTTTATACTGGTCTATATGGTCCCTGGGTACCATTCAGGTTATACTGGTCTATATGGTCCCTGGGTACCACTGAATTTATACTGGTCTATATGTTTCCTGGGTCTATATGGTCCCTGGGCACCACTGCGTTTATACTGGTCTATATGGTCCCTGGGTACCACTGAGTTTATACTGGTCTATATGGTCCCTTGGTACCATTCAGTTTATACTGGTCTATATGGTCCCTGGGTACCACTGATTTATACTGGTCTATATGGTCCCTGGGTACCATTCAGTTTATACTGGTCCATATGTTCCCTGGGTACCATTCATTATACTGGTCTATATGGTCCCTGGGCACCACTGAGTTTATACTGGTCTATATGGTCCCCTTGGTACCATTCAGTTATACTGGTCTATATGGTCCCTGGGTACCACTGAAATTTATACTGGTCTATAT